CAAAGTTGACTGACTTTCTTCTTAAGGCCTTCATCCCTTTCCTGTCCTCTCTCTTCCTTTTTCTTCTGAAGAAACATCCCAGCTTAATCTCTGCTAACATGAATGAAAATCCTATTTGTCCGTCTGCCTTACATTACAATTCCTTCGCCTCTTTCAGTTGGTGGGTTTTATTTACTGGGATTCATGTTTTGGGTTTATACCCCATCCTCAAAGCAGCTTACAAGAGTCCATGTCTGTCACCTCCATCCTGTTATTTTAACAGACTTTCTCTTTCTGTTTATAATTCATGGCATGGAAGGTTACCACCCATTCTTTGATCCTGGATCTCTCACATTCTCCACATAAAAGATCTTCCCTCTTTGAGCGGGATCCTTTCCTTTGTTCTAAACCCTCTCCCCCTTCCTCTGTCTACAAACTTTTCCCCCTGCCATTCATACAGCTCCTCTACTTACAACTGAATTACCTATGGATCCACCTATCCATTCATACTACTTTTGGTGTACACTCAGCAAAACAAAAAAGGGGAAGTTAACCCTCTTTCATGCCATTTCCAAATCTCCTAAAGGCACAACCTTTGCAGGTTTAGGCAGAATAAAGGCCTACAATTCCCAGCATGCCCCAGTGAGCATGGCTGGCTGGGACAGCGGTGGGCTTTTTTAGTCTAAGGATGCATAGGATGGCATCCTTAAATACTTAAAACTAATACTGGTCGCTAGCTTGCGCATCCAGTGTCCAACCACATCTGTTTCCCTCTTGTTCACTCTGGCTCCCCGTCTGCCTTCTGATCACGCTACTTCGTTATGCAATATTCCTTGAAGAATAAAAACAAACAAGGGTGATTCCAACTTTTTTCTTGGCACTGAGCAACGGGGGTGTCGTTCTATTTCTCCCTCTCCCTCCTTTATCCTTCCCTCGTGCTTTTCTTGCCTTGTCCAAGAATTTCACATTTTGCTGTTGTGGAAACTTTTGCTGAAGCGAAGGAATGCTAAGGGTTGGAAGGTGGCTGGGTATTTTATTTGGGGAGCGGGAGAGATCTGAATCGATACCAAATGTCCGAGAGGAACAAAGGAGCTTGTTGCATGGTGGATGGCTTGGAAGAAAGAACCATAAATGGTTTAGGAATCCTCGAGGAGGAGAATGGTGGTGGAGGAGAGGCGAAAAGAGAAAGCTGCAGGGATAACCCTCTGATTTAATTTCTGTGATAACTCTGGAAGAAATAAAGGGTGCTGTGTACGCACAGAGAGAGATGGTGTATAGGGAAGGACCTCGGCAGGAAAACGGAACTTTTCACGTGGGTGTTACCAGTTAATTTTACAATTGGAACAACAACAGAAATTAAAAAAAGATGAGAAGGAGAAAGAAGGAAGGGGTCCCAGCATGGAAAAGCGGAGCAAGGATCAGTGGAGGGAAGTGGTGGCAAACCATTTCTGACAGGGGTTGTGACCTTAGCCGACCAAGTCGAAAATGAATGACTGAATGAACAAGGTTTAAGTGAATGCCAGGAATGAGGATATGGAAGGAAAAGAGACAAAAAGGGCCCTTGTCTTACGCCTCTTGGAAGACTGCTCTGCTCGGACACGGAGAGGGCCCAGAGACTTGAAATCACTTTAGGAAGGCTTGTGGCCTGGGATGAAATGAGAGGAGAGCAGGAACGCAGGCTGTGTGGGCGGCGGGTTGTTTGTGTCTCTTTCTACGGGATATTTTTGGGGCCTTGTGTATGGGACGTAATGACTTTTTTTAGGGCCGGCTCTATCTAAGCCAGGGGGGTGGAAACAGAGTGCGAGCGGAAAGACGCGGGGGCATGGGGGTCTTTTTTTATATCAAGGTTGGCGAAGTGGCAAGAGCACCGCAAGGAAGGATGAAAAAATAGGAAGGGAAGGGAATAATTGGCATCAGGATTAGTCAGACTCCTTGACATGCCCACCTGGCCTGTTCTGAACTCTTCTTCCTGCTCCTTCTTTTGCTCTGGGGGAGGTTTTGTTTTTTTAAAGCAACGTCTTTTTGTTCGGAGGCTGAAAGATTTTACTTTGCCATTGCATTTCTGCCAACTTTTGGAAATAAAAGTTTAGGCTCCTCCCCTTGACCCGAAAGGCCCCGCCCACTGTGCCCACTTCCTTGACCCATTCTTAGGAGTGAGGCCAATGTTAAGAGAGCATTTAGACTCCAGTTCTAAGCATACTTAATACTAATCCATGCTAATTCTGCATAAGCATGTGCTGCAAGGAGTGTTAAGGGCAGTGCTGTGAGGATATTTTTATTTATTTATTTATTTAGGATATTTATATGCCGTCCTTTGCAAAAGCCTCAGGACAGCTTACAAAGATAAAATACAAATATCACCAAATGTAAATAAATTACTGACCCACTCTGGCTGCTATTTTTGTGAAGAGGATGTGAGCAGAGAGAGAGAGAGAGAGAGAGAGAGAGAGAGAGAGAGAGAGAGAGGAGGTGTTTTATTATGGAATGGGCTGTCTCTTCCTCTAATTATTGTTTGGGTTGATTAAACTCTAGGTGACCTCTTGAATAGTTCCTTCAGTACCTCAGAAGTGCATTAACACTTTGGAAATGCTCTGTCTGTTAAAACAGAGTGGAATCCTACGCATGTTTACTTTGAAATGGAGTCAAAATGTGCATTAATGAATTGATGGATTGGTTAAAAGGCAAATGATCAACTAAAACAATCTCGAATTGACTGGCAAATGCAGCTGTGTTGTGTCATCTGCAGTGTGAAAATCCAAAGCTAGGGTGTGTCAAGAAATATACTGCCAAGGGCTATTAACCATCTTTAAAATATTAAGATGAGTGTGTCTAGGTTAGATTAGAGTCACCCTAGCCGAATAACACCTGTGGCTCTCTAAATGCTTCTAGGAAACATGCAAGCAGAGCAATTCTCTGTTGCTGAAATTCATTGGTAGACTGTGCCTGAGGCTGGAGGCTCTGTTGACTGGTGTGGCAAATGGCCAGAGATAGGGGTGTTTTCTTACATGAATTTGTGAGCTCCCTTTCTAATGCTATTGGAAAACTGTGTTGGATTAACTGATGCTAGGAAGGGATTACAGGCCTAAAATCTCCTATGTGGCATTTTTTGGCTATGCAATTCTTACGTGTTTGCGGGAGAGAGAGCGAGGGAGCGGGCGCACACAGTGGATTTATCTGAAAATCTCTTGATCACAAGGAGTTAAAGCTGCACCCTTTCCTGTCCCCACAATGTTAATCCATTGCTGCTTGTTTCCTGGGTTTCTGCCTTCGAGCTACACTTCTCCTTCAAATCACCTGTGGAGTCACGCATGGAGAGTGTCTTGAAGCACAACCCCCTGCAGCTTTTCTTCCTCCACCGCTACTCATTTTCACACTATGCTATCCAGCCCAGCTGCTTTTTTGCAGAACTAAACCACTGCAATTTCGGCCGTGGATTCTCTGAAGAACCTTGCCCAACCTCGGAGATCCCCTGCCCCCCCGCCCCCCCTTTGCCTGGGTCACCAGACCGGAAAATGGTTGCAGACGGAGTGAATCACCGCGAGCCCAGTCAGGAGCAGCAGGGAAATTGGAGACGGGCACAGGAGTTCTCGCAGGAATTGACACAGGAGCGGAGTGAAAATAGTGGGTTCCACTGGAACGGGCAGTTTGGGGATTAGTGAGATAAATGCACGGGCTGATGGATCGAGAAAGATGCACACTGAGATGGAAAAAGGACTTATAGTTCCCAGCTGGCTGGGGCATCTGAGAATTGTAGGCCGTTTCCTGGTTCAGCAGGCAGAATATTGCACTAGTCCTTAAGTTTTCCAACACCTGGGTACCTTCCAGGTATTTTGGGCTCCTGATCCCGTCACTCTTGCCAACATGGCCAATAGGCAGGACAGATGGGATGGATGTCTCGTCCAAAACCTCTGGTGGGCATCTGGTTGGGGAAAGTTGGATTAATGGGTATATAGAAGGACAGGGGAGGATGGGTAACATTTGGGGAGGAAGGATAGATGTTGAAGTCAAGAGAAGGAAGGGAGACAAGAGCAAGAGTGGAACTTACTTCATTGTATGGGGATTGGGAGTTAAACCCACTGGGGGCTCAAGTCAGTGCCAAGTAGAATGTCAGGGTGGGCTAGGGGATCCCGGGATATGAGGTCTGGTCCCCTCCTGACCACTGGGTTAGGACTTCCAGCCTAACCTACCTCTCAGGGTTGTTGTGAGGATAAGATTGAGAAGAAGATTAAGCAAAGATTAGCCAACGATCTCCACCTAAGCGTGCAGGATATGACCATCGATCGATGGGGGAAGGATAGATAAGGGTGTGCATTGAAATAGGGATAAACTGAATCTGGTTCAGTAATGTAGATGTGTTGGACTATACCTCCCATCATGCACAGACAGCATAGCCACTGGAGACTTGTCCCATGTCCCCTGGGTGTCTTTTCAGTGGGGAAGGGGAGCTAGGAGAGGGTGTCAGACTTACGGAAAAGTACTTCCTACTCAGTTGCTCCTCTGGTGTGAAGGGTTTTATTTGATTCTAAAATGGAGGGCAGCTCAATTGCATGGACCACAGTTGTATTCTGAAGGGGTACAACAAAGACACGGGTATACCACCTAAGAACCATGCGTATAAGTGAAAAAAGTGTGGTGCAGTGTGGTATATCAGTTGGAATGTTGGACTGGGAGTGGGGAGACCCGGGCTCTAGTCCTCATTGTGCCATGAAACTCACTGGGTGATTTTGGGCCAGCCACTCACGCTCAGCCTAAACAACTTCCCAGGGTTGCTATGATGATAAAATGGAGGATCACGTACCCTGCCTCGGGCTTCTCAGATGAAAGATGGAATATAAATTTATTTACTTATCCGTTATATATATCTGTCCTTTTCCTCTTGCAAGGGACCCAGGGTAGCTTATGTAATCCTCCTCCTCACCGTGTTAGCCTCACAACAGCAACCCTGTGAGGCAGGTGAGGCTTAGAATCAGCGACTGCCCTGAAGTCAAGCAGTGAGCTTCACGGCACAATGAGGACTAGAACCTTGTCCTCCCCGGTCCCCAGTCCATTGCTCTTAACAACCACACTGGCTGTCTTTCAAGAAACATAAATGAAATATAAATCAGTCAGTGGGGGAGGATCAGCCCACTGTTGTCCTTTTTTGGGGTTGGGGGTCCTTCCTGCAGCAGCGTTTCTCATACCCTTCTCAACTCTCCCTCAGGCCTGGCTACAGCAATATGGTTACCTTCCACCTGGAGACCTTCGCACGCACACCCAGCGTTCCCCCCAGTCCCTCTCCGCTGCCATCGCGGCCATGCAGCGATTCTACGGGCTTCAGGTGACGGGCACGGCCGACGCCGAGACTTTGAAGTGAGTCCCTTCCTGTCGCAGGGAGATTCCCTTTTTGCAAATCTGTTGACGATGGGCGGCCAGTTTTGCTGCCGCCGCCCACAAAAGAAAAAGGAGTCTTAAGAATTCTGCAGTTGGTTCCCCCAGTGAGGGACACCGAGATGTGGAAATTACTGTTATTTTTATATCTTGCTGTTGTGTGCCATAAGAAGGAGGGATTGCAGTGAGCTGGTTGGCCCTGCAGACTTTGCAGAGTGGAAAAAAGCATTGCAAGAAAGAATATAAAGCAATAGCTTCAGAGGGAACTGAAGCTTTTAAACTACTGTGGCCAGGCATTAGTTGCGCAGAAGGGGAAATTTTCTCACAGTTTCGCTGTACCTTCATGGCTGCTCTTTGTGGCTTTAGCCACAAGACGGGCAGCCTTTTGCTGGATGTGAGAAATGGGATGGGGAGGGAGACAGCAGCCTAAGTTTGGTAGGAGGCTGAACTGCGAGGCCTGCTGTTAGTTGACGCTGGCCGGCCCTGACAACACACCACTGGACAGAGAAGTTTTTCTGCATGCAAGAGGCTTCCCATGCAAATCAAACCACAGCCTGAGGGCAGGCAACAGACCAGGGCACAAGGGTCTTGAGATGATGAAAGTCTTGGAGGCTTCATCGGTCCACAAATTCTGCAGAAAATGTTTCAAGAATCCTTCAGACACGGCTGGTGAGGGCAAGTCATTATGAAACCACTGGAAAGACCATGATGTAACCAAGCGAAAGAGCCTGCTCGGGGTTGTGGCTTGGTGGACGGACGCTTGCATCCCGTTCCAAGTGTTGGCAGGCAGGCCGTGCGGCTCAGCTACATCCTGTGCCGGGGTGGCCCTTACGTTGCATGCAGGGAAGGCCGGGCCTGCTGCTGTTATGCCTGGCCGGCGGAACACCACACCACAAGAGGCTGGCAAGGGAGCCGAGGAAGGAGGCTGGTTTTAAAATAGGTCTTGGGAAGGGACGACTTCAGCTCTTCCCCTGGGCCAGGCAGTGAGGATCGTCGCAGAGAAAATGACTGGACAAGGCTACTTTTGGCATTGAGCTAGCCGGCTGGAAGTAAAACAGTATTCCTTAACCTGTACAAGCCTGACGGACCACTGGATGAAAGCCAGGCCTTGGCAAGTTAATCAAACCGAGCAAGAATCCCTCCTTCATGAAGATGAATTCTGGTTGCAGAATTTTCAATTATGCCAATCCCTTCCTTAGGCTTAGATGTTCAGGACAGCTAATCTAAGCTAATCTGTTTGTGAAAAATCTTTATCTGAACTTGGTCTAGCCCAGACCCTTTCTCTTCTTAAGGACAGGCGGCGATCCCAAGAGCAAATCCCTCTTTTAGGATCTTCCGTCCTTTTGATCAAAATTTCCCACCTCGAATATCGACCTGCTCTGTGGTTGTGTGAATAGGTGCAGGAGCGTGAATGTGTTTAAAGACCCTCAAGTCGTCGTTTGCTCGCAAATTTATTTCTTGCACCATTCCTATTAGTGGTGCATTACAAGAAGTGAAAGGATGCTTACAAGCCAGAACTGGAAAGAACAGAGAAAGTGAAATATGCTTAGGATTCATGCTAGGAGAGTGTGGAAACAAGGGGCTTATGGCAGAAGGACAATGGATAAACTTCAATGGACTCCTGAGGTAGAAAACCCAGATGGTATCCTATGGTAGGAATTAACCCGGAATTAACTACTCTGTCCCAGAAGCTCTCTTATGCAAGCCCTGTTGAAGAGGAAGGGTGTCGCACAAGATCCTTGTTTGTCTGTGGTCTGCCTCCGCTTTACCACTCTTGGTAGCGCCCAGAATGGGTTGCCTAAGTCGGCAACTTCAGCTTGTGTTGGAGTTGGGTCAGCTTTAGCTTTGGTTGCTCATCCTAGGATACCATGTGGCATAAAAAGAGAGTATGGATAGCGCTTGCAGCCAAAAAGCTCAGATCCATCCCATCCTCTCAGAAGTACTTCCTGCATCTCAACATTGTGGGGATTTCTGGGGTCCAGCTGGTCGGCTTTCTTTGTCCATAGTCTCAAGAAACAGAGACCACGAAGAACGATTCTGGCAGCAAATGTTGGCCAGGCTCCCAGACAGACTGAGAGCTTGAGAAATCTTGTAAACCACTCCTGACCAGGTTAACTGTAATGAGCAAGAACTCCCTCCAAGCAGGTGTGCTGGCTTAACTTTTGACTAATGCAGGTATTAGTCAAGAGCAGAGCTTTTTCTGGGCTTGGAACTCCATCCTCAGGGGCAGCCAGAACCTTATTTATTTATGTACTACATTTCTGTAGCTGAAAACCATAACACAAGATATACCACAAAAGTTTAAAACAACAGTATAAAATATGGACAAAAGGCCAAACTAAAGCTTTCCAGCAGTGCAAAGATTTAAAATGCAGGAACAGACTTAAAGCAGCAGAGGGAATGCCTAAAGCTGGGGAAATAGGGAGGTCTTCACCTTGTGCCCGGAAGCCCCTCTGGCAAGCCATTCCACAAATTGGGTGCCACGACCAAAAAGACCCTTCATCTGTTGGCAAGGGAATGGACTGCTTAACAGTGTTCTTGGGTCTGGGCAAGTATAATGCGAGAAGAGATGATTCTGCAGGTAAACCCTTCTTCCTTCTTCTAGGGCTATGAAGAGGCCCCGCTGTGGCGTCCCAGACAAATTTGGAGCCGAAATCAAGGCTAACGTGCGGCGCAGGCGTTATGCCATCCAGGGGCTGAAGTGGACACACTACGACCTTAGCTTTTGGTGAGGTTTGGGAGAGGGGCTGGGCTGGGAGCTGCAGGGAGGGGTGGGCCTAATTTGGGGAAAAGGAGAGAAAATGAACTTTGGATTGTGGGAAGGGAGTTGATCCACAAGATGAGGGTGGGTGGGAACTGCTGACCTGCCTGCAGAAGGAAGTGGAAATGTCATTCTCTTAAATAATGCGCTTTGCTTGTATCATCCAAAGGATGCAATTCAGGGAAGTTTTATTATGTCTGTTTTAAAAGGTAGGGAGAAGATAGAGGGCTTAGGGGATTGAACTGGGGACTGTAGGGAATGCAGTTCTTCTTCCGTCGTGCCCTTCCCTCGTTGCTTCGATCACCAGTCTCATGACACATTCCCTGCACAACTCCGAGGACTAGTTACTTGAAAAACAAAGCAATCGGAGACTTGGTACTCCAAAAGCCAGTTTGACTGGTTTCTGGAGGGATTTCTTGGATCTCCCACTCTAGCCAAAGAAAGGGAAGGTGAAATTAAAGTCCTTTGATGCCTTTTCTTTAGGTAAAGTTCTCCTAGGCAGAAAAGCTGTCGCGTGGGATTCGTGGCTGAGACAGGGGGGAGAGTTTGGAATGGAATTGCAGTGGGATTAATGGATGCTAGGAGGGACAGGTTAGGGTTTATCGGGGCAGCTATGGGCTCTAAAGGGAAGCAACAGAGGCTGCAAGAGTATGGCTGAGAAATGCAGGGACAGCCCTGGCTGGGAGGAGACCCTGGAGCTTCAACTCTCGCTTCCACCGTAGTATCCAGAACTACACGCCCAAGGTGGGCGAACATGCCACCTTCAGCGCGATCCGGCGTGCCTTCAGCGTGTGGCAGTCGGTGACGCCGCTGCGCTTCCGCGAAGTGCCCTACTCCTCCATCCGCGAGGGCCACGAGCCACAGGCCGACATCATGATCTTCTTCGCGGAGGGTTTCCATGGCGACAGCACCCCCTTCGATGGCGAGGGAGGGTTCCTGGCCCACGCCTACTTCCCCGGACCACACATCGGCGGAGACACGCACTTCGATGCGGCGGAGCCCTGGACGTCCCGCAACGACGACCTTAGCGGTGAGCAGGAGCGGAGGGAACCGGCGGGATGGGGCCAGATGCATGCTGGGAAGCACGAGGGTGCCTGTAAAAGGGAGCACATCGGACTGCTCAGAGCATCCGAGGGAATGACTCACTGGCGGCAACCCCAGAGGAGGAGGAGAAAAAGCAGAAGGAACTGGTGGGTAATGCCCACCTCTTCAGCTCATGGACTTGAGATCAGCCACATATGACGTGCGTTTTCCAGTTCCTCACAGCTTCCTGATACAATAACAGCTATGGGAAGGTTGGGGAAGGTCCTCCTTGCATGCAAAAGCCCATGCTCTGTTCCTTATTTGGTGCTGCTGGATTGGAACGAGTGACTCCATATTCCGTGCTCAGATGACTTCTTGCTCCTAGCTTTGGTGTCTCCGCCAGAGAGAAAATGTCCTTCCGCATCCCTTGCGCCGTTGCGCATTCCCTAGCTTGAGAACTGCGATGGGTTGGTACTTGGGTGGTTGGGTCGCCTAGTCGCCTAATTTCAAAGGATGTTGAAGCGTCCTCCCTTTCCACCTTGCAGGAAATGATATTTTTCTGGTAGCTGTGCATGAGCTGGGCCATGCGCTGGGTTTGGAGCATTCAAATGATCCATCTGCCATCATGGCACCCTTCTACCAATGGATGGACACAGAGAACTTTGAGCTGCCCGAAGATGACCGGCGTGGCATACAGCAACTGTATGGTATGACCCTTCTAGCCCCACCGTGACCTTTGATCCCTTCAGCCAATACCCTTTTTGATAGGCAGTTAGGCCCCTTCTTGTGCCATGGGGTCCCGCTCTGGGCTTCCCAAGAGGCAGGCAAACGGGAAGGTCCAGAGGAGGGCAGCAGAGATGGTCAGGAGGCTGGAAGCAAAGGCCCACAAGGAGAGATGGAAGGAACCCGGAATGAGAAGAGAAGACCGAGATGAGTTTTGGAGGGCCAGGATCAATTCTTGATCATCCCAGAGTGTGGGACACAGAATAGTGGATTGAAGTTACAGGAAGTCAGATTCTGGCTGGACATCAGGAAGAACTTCCTGTTAGAGCAGTGCAGCAATGGATCTAATCCCCTAAGGAGCTGGTGGGCTGCCCCCCATGGGAGGCATTCAGGAGGTAGCTGGCCATCCATCAAGGATGTTTTCACTGGAGTCTTCCACTGCGCAGTGGGTCAGGCTAAATGACCTCCGAGACCCCTTCCAACTCTACTATGATTCTAGTAGAACGGGACTTTTCTGTGCAATGGGGAACCACCAGATCTACTTCGGGCAATCAAAGGAAGGCGCGCCCATGGGGCCTGTTTTCCAGCAGTGGGCAGGAGGAAGCCAAAAGGAGAGAGAGGCCAAAAATGCTGGCCTTAAAGTAACAAAGTACGAAGCTTAAAGTGAGGAAGGCATAGCAGGGGAATTCCAACACTGTCGCCTGTGAAACAAACTGCACAGAAGCGGGGTGCAGCGGAGCAACTGGTGGAGGGGCGAGGGGGGTGTCTGAGGAACCTCGGGGGAGTGGACCTGGCCCCAGGCCAGACGTTTTGCTCCCCTATCCGGCACACCGGCCTTCAGTCACGTGTTGGAGCACCAATCTTGCGCCTGCTCCCCAGCTCCCCAAGGGATTAAGACACTTCTAACCCTCGTCTCTAGGGTCCCAAACTGGCCACCCCAGTAAACCTCCACCCATCCCTCGAACAACTGTGAAGCCCCGTGTCCCAGGCCGGCCACCGAAGAACCCAACCTATGGCCCCAACATCTGTGACGGCAGATTCGACACCATTGCGGTGCTCAGAGGCGAGATGTTTGTATTCAAGGTCAGCTGGTGGGGCGCCAGATCATCGGAGCTTTTAGCCGCGGGGGCGGGTTGGCCTGCTTCAGGACTATCTTAGGAGTGGGTTGGCCTGCTTCAGAACTGTCTGTCTTTTCTGTAACAGTAGCAGTAACTTCATTCATAATAATTCTTTCACAATATTAATACCATAGCATCATGTAACAATATGCCTATTACCTGGGCTGCGTTTCATATGTATTGCTTCAAATGCGTGTACTTAGCACTAACCAACAAGGCCAGCCAAATTAGGCTGTCAGAAGTCTGGATCCCGCAGTGTGCAGAAACTAGACGAGTTTTGTGAATCGCTTGTTGCATATCACCCGTTATGCTTCTTTGAGTCTGTGTTCTTTTCTGTTCTGTTCTCTCGATGATCGAAACATCTTCTACAAGTTCTGACTTAAGAGGCCTCTAGGTGCTTCTGAGTTTGCTTCCAGTGATCAGCAGTTAGGGGAAGAGGAGTGGAGCCATCTGGGAAAACCCATGTGGCCCAAATTGGGTTCACAGCTTCGAGGCTCAACTTTTCAACAGTTGTAGATGGGTGTATGTATTACGTTAAAAACAAGAAATGGGAAAGGTGGTATTCTGCAGCTGATTTACTGTGCTTTATTCTGCAAAGAAAGCAATTTGGGGACAACCCCGAGTCCTTCTGGACGCCTTTTAAAAATGTGTGTCTTTCCAGGACAAATGGTTTTGGCGTGTCCGGAATAACCGTGTGATGGATGGGTACCCCCTCCCCATTGGCCAGTTCTGGGTTGGTCTCCCTGCAACGATCAACACAGCCTATGAGAGGAAAGATGGAAAATTCGTCTTCTTTAAAGGTTAGTGGCTGATTGTGAGCACTTTGGCCTCAGATGTCAACAGCCCCCTGCATGGAGCGCTAATATACTGCTCGGCTACTTTTATAATTTTCCCCTCAGATATTCTTCTAATTATGCATACTGTAGAAGCATGATAATTTAAGTTCTGTGACTCATCAATTACTGCAGATAATCACTCGGCCAGTCAGCTTGGCTCCGAGAGAAATTTACAGTGAGGCAAAGCTGAATTTGTGGTTTGGCATGAGCTTTACCATAGCAACCCAAGTTGGAGCAATGTTAGGTATTTCTGTTGTTCGTCCAGGTTTACAAAGGCTTCAGAGCGCAAGGAAGGCAAATGAAAGCTGGAACTCAGGACGCTGTCCCTACTACTTTTCCTGTTTTATTTTGTTGGGTGGAGGCAGGAGATAGGAGGGGAAGCAAGAGTCGCCTGCCTCAGCTTCCCAGAATGTGTTGTCCTCACCCCTGAGGTTTTGGACTACCATCTGCTCCAGCCAGCACGATCCGTGTTCAGATATTAGGGGAACTGTGGTCCGAAATGTCTGAAGGGTGCTGCGTGGGTATGTCTGGCCTGCATCAGCTGGCGGGAAGTGTAGGTTGGTCCTCCATCTTGCCGTGCTTCGGACTGCCGGCACATCTGGGGAAATCAGGTTGCTCATCTTCCTACAGGGGACAAGCACTGGGTCTTCAATGAAGCCACCCTGGATCCTGGGTACCCCAAGCACATCAAGGAAATGGGCAGAGGACTTCCCACTGACCGGATCGATGCTGCTCTTTTCTGGATGCCAAGTGGGAAAACCTACTTCTTCCGGGGAAATAAGTGAGTTACTAAAGTTGTTTCTTGGGCTGTTGGGTCTCTTTCAGCCTGCATCTCTGTTGGAGAAACTTGCAAAGGACACCCACCAGGGTGGGTGGGCAGGCCACCTTCCTCCAGATGACAGCCTATTTTAGCTCTAGGGTCATATTGCTGCTAACTAAGCCTGAGTTGAGCCGTTCAACTTTAAAAATTGGGGGGAAAAATCCAAGCTCTGGAAAGCAACTGAATAAATGGGGGAACAGCAGAAAGGAGGCAGAGCCAGGGGAAGCGTGGGGTGATCTTCCAGGGAATGCCCAAGGGCCAGGCTGGGATCCTAGGCAAACTGGATTTGGCCCTGGGTTTGAGTTTCAAGACTCTGGAGCTAGGGGGTGGGGAAGGTGGAACTGCTATGGGGAGGGAGGGTCTACGCTGCTATTTTGGGGGAGTCAGTAGTACGTTAATTGAATTGTGAGATGTTTACTGGGGAAGGGGAGCAGGTCACGCGATCATTTTTGGTTCCAATTTATAATTCTTGGAAAGCTTTCCGTGCCATGCCCTGCTCTAGGCTAGAGCAGCTTTAGTTGTGTGTAAACAGAAAGTGGTCTGACGCGGCAAGGTTAACAACACACATCCGTTGGATTTCCCTGATTACTTTTGCCGACACAACTTGCTGTGTCGTTCGAGCATGGCTTGTTTGGGGGGGAACAACCCATGCATAATCCATGGGCTGTTCTTGGGTTATTTGAGGGTTGCTGCCCACCCTGCCAAAAAACGAGCAAGACTGGCTGCCTGTGCCAAACCGGCCCAGTGCTGAGCTCTGAGTTCTGAGATCACCAGGCATCATTTAGTATTTAGTGGTAATTTATTATGTTCTATTGTATTTCAATGTATCTTATTGTGTTGTAAGCCACCCCGAGGCTTCAGCAAGGGGCGGCATAGAAATGTTATCATCATCATCATCATCATCATCATCATCATCATCTACCCATTATCCAGCTCTTCCTTACAGCCTTGAGGGATAGAAGCTTGACTTTGATTTTAAAAGATAAACTCAGCTGATATTGTTAAGACTGAACTCTGTCCCCAATCCCAGAATCCTGCTTCTCCCCCTTTTGGACAGAATTCCAGATAGAATTCTGGCACTTTGCTCGATCCAGAGGTCTGGCAATTGTTGCCCGTTTGCTCTGAGTTGCTAGGCCTACGGTCCTAAGAATACTTCCCTAGACATAAGTCAGTGGGAATTTTCTTCGGCATAAATTAGTTTAGGATTGCACTGCAAATGTTTTACTTGGGAATTCTCACGATCTTCTTTGCTGGAAGAGACCAATCACCTGCCTTGTCTCTCTAGCCACGCCTTGCTCAGGCTTCCTCGGCCCTGTGCATTGCAGATGGGCTGGATTACAACTCCCATCCTTCCAGTCATTAAGTCCATCCCTATGAGGCTGGGGAATCCTGAGCTAGCCAGAGGTTCTGAGAAGCTCAGAACCAGAACGTGAAGGTTAGGAGTTTGTTTATTATTCCATTTATATTCTGCCATATTTCCTCTTGCAAGGAGTTCAAGATAGCTTCCGTAGTTCCTGGTTTGTTTTTTTCTGATGAAAACCCTGTGAGGTAGGTTAAGCTGAAAGTCACCCAGTAAACTTCATGACAGAGTAAGGACTTGAACCTGGGTCTTTGCAGACCGACACTCCAACCACTGCATCCCATTGGCTTTCACAGCTGTCAGTGTCTTAATTAATATCCCTGACAGACCTTTCTCAAGGAATAGACTTAACTTTTCCTAAAAGCCATTTCGGTGAGTGACCCGCAACCCATCTTGGGATCATAAATCCCAGGAATTAATGAATGCATTGCTTGCTTTGAATTTGGTCACTTTGATCTATTCTTCGGTGAGGCATTGCTACTAAATGGGCCCAGTTTAATGTCTTGTATTTCTCTTCCTCCTCTGTAATTTATCACAACGTTCTGTTTTTGTGGCTTAGATACTACCGTTTCAATGAAGCAACTCGATCCGTTGAGGCCGACTACCCCAAGAACATCAACGTCTGGGAAGGAATCCCCGAATCGCCCCGGGGGGCATTTATGGGTAGTGACGAGGGTAAGGAGGAAGGGGAGATCCAGGGAGTCATGGTGTCCTCAGGGAGGGAGGAGGGATAAAAAGAGCCCCTTTCAGCAGAAAGGCAAGACAGGTGCCGTCGAGTGGTCTCTCCACCTGGAGCAACCAGATGCCGATAGTCCATCACATGTTTGAGCGGTCAAGAAAGAGAAATCAAAATGAGCCATCTAGATAACCAGTAACAATCGGTTACAATGCATGAGTTGTGTTTCGATTACATGAGAGACAACGCATTAGGCTTGTTCCCTGACGGTTGGGGGCCACTGCCTCAGTTTCCCCCCGTGATGGATGCCCCATAAGGAGTATCAAATATGCTGGGCTTTGGGACATGCCATATACTTATTTTTCTCTTGGCCTTCCTCTGAGGATCTCAGTGTGGCATTTATGGTTCCCCCACAACCTAGCTTTACTCCTCACCTGCATCATGGTAGGTTAGGCTGAGAGAGAGAGAGAGTCCCATAGCCCATGTGTCTTGGTGAGCAGAAGAAGTGGAGATGGGCAGGATCTTGCATGGTTGCTCCTCTCCATCTATGTGGTGACCGTCATAAAGATGGGTCTGTTGCTAATTCTCTCCTCCGCCAACTTGAGAGGTCAATCATGAACTACTGTTGACTTGAGTAAGCGAACTTTTGTAAAAGGATCCAGTGATGATGACCGGTAACAACCGGTTAATGCATGAGTTGTGTTTTGCTTATACGATTCCCCCCACCCTTTGGGACTTAGTTTGGGTCTTCCTCACTTAAGGACACAACTTAAGAGGTGCCTGGCTGGATCAGACCCCAAGGTCCCATCTGCTCAAGCACTCTGTACAAACAGTGACCCACCAGCTGCCCACAGGGTCTGTCTAGGATGGGGGCAAGACCTCCTCCTGCCCAGCTCCCCAGCAACTGGTGCATGCAGGGAGGCCACCTCCGGAGAAGGAGGTAGTCCATGGCCAGCAAGCCCAATAGCCACGGATAGCCTCCCCCCGCATGAGGCTGCCCAGCCCCCTTTTCAAGCCATCCAGATGGGTGGCCACCACCACCTTCTGTGGCGGAGAATTCCATAGTCTATGTTCTGTGTGAAGAAGGCCTTCCTTTTCTTTCTCCGTCCTAAACCTCCCACGTATTGGCTTCACGCAGTGACCCTGGGTTCAAGTGTTACGGGAGGGCAGAAAAGGGTCTCCCCTCTTCACACCATGCATTATTTTAAACACCTCTATCACGCCTCCCCTTCCTCACCCTTTTTTCTAAGCTGAACAGTCCCGGTTACTGTAGCTGCTGCAGCCCCCTGATCAATTTTGTTGCCCTTGAATCGCTGACATTCCCGTAAAAGCTGTAAATTCTGAAATTTCATTAAAGAGTCGGCGTATTTTTCTACTGAGAAAACAGGCTGCTCTTGCAAAAGTATATCGCAGAATTAAAATAGGGTATATGCAAGGCACTTCACAGTCAAAATCGCATTGATTTTGATGCTTATATTCTTAAGTATGCCTGGATTCAACACACTGAAAATGCACAATGTGAAATATATTCCCACCCTCTGGCCTGAAATATCCCATATGAAATCACATTTTGGTTTTATCGTTTATATTAGGAATTGAGGCTTGGTATCCAGATACAAAAAGAGCACTTGAAATGAAAGTTCTTAGTTCAGACTGAAAATGGGAATCCAAAAATGAAATCTGGATTCCAAGGTTTAAGCCAGGATATTTGAATTCCAAATTGGCTTTTGCAGTGGAAATGTAATATACAAGATTCTCCACTTGGAACTGAACACTGATTTTCTTTCCTGACAAATCCCACACACTGCACATTTTAAAATGACTTTCAGAATTTCATAATTCCCTCCTGAAATGCCTTGGACAGAAACGGCTTTTTTGTTTCAGATCCTATCAGTGTCTAATCAGGTTTTGCTCTCGTTTTCCTTCTTGCCTGCTTTGTTTCCTCTGCCCCACGCATGCAGCATTCACTTATTTTTACAAGGGGGATCGGTACTGGAAGTTCAACAATGAGAAACTGAAGGTGGAGCCGGGATACCCCAAGTCGGTGCTCCGGGACTGGATGGGATGCAGTTCCGACGACCGGCGCGAAGGAGAAGAAGTTATCATAATTGAGGTGGACAATGCACCCGAAGGGGAGGTGAACGCGGTCGCTGTGGTTCTGCCCGTCCTGCTTTTGCTTATCGTCTTGGCTGTGGGAATTGCCATATTCGTCTTCAAGCGCTACGGCACCCCCAAACGGTTGCTGTACTGCCACCGTTCTCTGCTGGATAAGGTCTGACAGGGCGAGCCTCTTCCGCGGGCACGGGAGCGCAGGTTTCCTCCTGTCTCCCACCGGTGGCCACCATCTCCCCCCCCCCCCGTGCGCGGTTCTCAAACTCCCTTCCCCGTGTTCGTGCTTTTCATCCGCTCCCTCCTCCCCGCTCACCTGCCACATGTTCCGCTCCCTTACCTGCCTCCCCACAGGCGCCTTCTTCTGCCGCTCGCCCGCCGCTCGCCGTGCTCCTCCACCGCTTCCAACTCGAGCATCCTCTCCGCTTCTTGTGCATTCACCTCCTCCTCCTCCTCCTCTCCCTCCTCCTTCACTCTTCACCTGGTCCTTTCCCCACCGTTCCTCCCTCTCTTCTACCTCCGTGCTTCTCCCCCTCCTCTCCTCACGCCCCAGCTCTCCCACACGATGTCTTGGCGGTCTCTGTGCTGAGCACGTTCACTAACATAACTTGAGGAGGCAAAAGAGGACTTCTCGCCGTGCTGAGTGTGGCGCCATCAGCCCCTCGTCGCACCCTTCCCACGACGGAGCATCTCTGGGCCTCGCCTCAGAGGAGAGGAAACGTCACCTTGAGCTGGCAGTTTGCAGAGCGGGGTGGGGGGGTGGTGGGGGGAGGAAGCCAGTACTTCAAACATCCTCTTATTTCCCCCCTTCAGACCTTGGTTGGATCAAGGTGAAGTTCTCATGGCGAAAACCCTGTCCAGAATATTGGTCACAAGGTCTCTCGTTCTGCCTAAATAATCGTCTTTTCCCTTTGTCCTCGCCGCCATCCTGTTTTTTCCAAGGATCTGTGGAGATTACTGGCTGGCACAAAGATAGATGCTCCTCAGGGGCTTAGAGGGTGAAAGCAGGATCTTTAAACTCTTCAGGGTGTGGCCTGGAAAGGTGCAGGCGAAGTCACCCCTGAGGGCCACTTGCAGATTTTGGAGCCGTGTAGACGAAAAAGGGGCAACTCCAGCATTCTTGGGGTGGGAGGGGGGCTGGAGAGGAATCGCAGCCTGCAGCCGGAAAGGAATTGCAGCATTCCAAAGGGATCTCTTATCATTCCGTTGGGCATGGCTTGAATAGGCAGGAGGAGCCATGGCTGATCCATAGGATGGCTTACGTTGACGACCTGGTAGGGAGGGCAGCTGATGGGGATGCCAGCTGAGATCTGGGATGCAGAAGCATCCCAAAAGGCCAGAGCTGGCCTTGAGGGTGGTGGGGGAAAAGAGACGCCCCCCACCATGTCGGTGTAATGGGACATGGCAATCTTGTATGCTTACGGAAAAGGGGGCATGTCTGAGAAGGGAGGGGGGTGCTTGTGTGGCCCTGAGCGAGACGTCGTGGTAGGACAGCTCGCCCCAACCCGGTGCTTTGCAGATGCGTCGCCAACACGCCCGGAAGGCATCGGGTTAGGAACGGCTGCTGTAAGCAGAACGTGGAACACCGTGATGGCTGTCAGCCGCAGCCAGATTTTGGCAGCATGGGTTGCAAAAGTGTTTACTCTGACATCTGACCATACTACCATAAAGTTTACAATTGTCGCTTCCAATCCATCCCGGATCCTACAAGAAAATAAACAGCGGTTTGCAAAATTTGGGGGGGGGGGGGAAGCGGAAGAAAATGAACATTGCACCAAGAGAATTGCCTCAAACTGCCTTATCCTTCTTTCTTAGGGAAAATTTTTAATTTTGTTTTGTTTTGTTGGACTATGTAATTTTAATTATTCTATAGAAATGCCTTTTTAAAAAAACAAAAAGTTAAAAATAGTGCATTAATAGGGTGGGGAAAATAGAACAGGGGTGGGAAGAGAAACCCAATTTCCTGCGGGACGGGAATGGGGTGTCTAAACTCTCTCCTGTTCAGACCATTTTTAACTGGGAAAGGGCTCTCGGTTGTGTTTTTTCAAATGGTCTCCAAACGGAATTAAACTGTGTTTAACGATACATTTGTGTTTGTGGGTGGGTTTTAATATTGTTTATTGTTCCACTTGATTATTATTGTTGTTGTTATTATTATTTTGCTATTAATAATAAACACCCATTCCTCGGGAGGGAAATATGCATATGTTGCCAGGGCCCTGTAGGCTGTTAAATTCTGTTATTACTTTTAATGTTTAGCAATAAAAAAACCATTTCTGGGTGGAAATGGATTCAAAATGCTGGGAGTTGTAAAAGATTTATTTTTTGTCCCCACACAAGTTGTTCATAACTATTTTGTTATTAACAAGAAGCACCAGAGAATTAAAAATAATAATAATAAATGCTGGAATTCCCCCCTTTTAGTAGTATTTTGTATTAAATTGTGTTTTTTTTCTTTTGGGGAAAGAATAAATATATACACTGAAGGATTGGGATACATTTTTGGATGGTTGGCTCCCTGCTCCTTTTTCATTGGCCCAAATAGTTGAAAATGATGGTATAGAAATTCAATATATCCATTAGCGGCATGAGCTAGTAGGTCTGTGAGTGGCCCTCCATACTCAGGATTATGGGTATCCAGGAAAGAGATGGGGCAAAGATTGGCTTTGTGCTTCTTTCACCCTCCAAAATATTGGCGTCAGTTTCATCTTGCTTGATCTTGCTCGTCCTGGCGGACTCCACTTGGAATAGGGGGTGGCATAGAAATGTACTAATTAATTAATTAAAGGCCAAGAGAGGGTGATCCAAATTTGGAGCCTTAGCTCCAACCTTGGAATGCTTTTCTGATAGCTGTCTGGACATGATCCCAGGGCGATCCTACACAATAATCCTGTCTGCTCTGTAGCAAGCCCCAGTCAATTCGGTAAGATTTATTCCTACATTGGTGTGCATGTAAGATCACACCCTAAGGATTTGGAGCTCTCCTCCTGCTGCAGCTGTGTTGGAATACAACTCCCAGCATTCTCAGCCTTTCTAAGGATGAGGTAATACAGTCATGTGTCGACACTGTTTGTCTTGTGTCTCCACAACCTGCAATTTTGTCTGTTTAAGAAATGTTAAGTGCTGTGAAGTCATCTCGACTCTGCGAGTGAATGAGCACCCTCTAAAATGTCCAGTCTTGACAAATGACAACGGCCCTGCTCTGCTCTTGTCTTTACAAAGCTGGGGCTTCCGTTACGGAATTAAAATCCATCTTACAATGGGCCTTCCCCTTTAGCATGACTGTCTTCCCCGGCAAGTCTTGCTTTCTCATCATGTGCCCAAATTGCGACATTTCATCGTTTTTGCTTCCCGGGAAAGCTCGAGTGCTTTGCTCTAGGACCCTCTGGTTTGTTCTTCTGTCACTTCCGGGGATTTGCAAAAGACTGAACCTGGGAGCTTCGACACGGCAAGGGTGAATTCTGAGGTGGTACAAACCTGTGAAGGGACTATACCATGCCAGAACAAGCGCCTCGGTATTGCTTTGAAGGCTCAGCTGTGTGTGTCACGGGTGGAGAAGAGGCAGCTGGCCAGATGTTGGTACATTTCTCCATTCTGATGACACTTGATTTCATGAGGTCTTGATTCTTGATTCCGTGTGGTGGAACTTAATGCCATCTGGATCGCTTTGATGAAATGCGGTGCGGATGTTGACTCGTAAGAATGAACAATACATAAACTGGTTGGTTCACCGTTTCCCTGCCAAAATGGGCTGCAGAAAGTCATCCTTGGCACAGCCTAGAGAAAGCTCCCAAGAGGCTTTGGAGGCGACAAAGTTTCGGGGGGAGCAGGAAATGTCACACTTCCTGCTCCCCTTCCTGGTGCTATTGAAACGCAAAACAGGTTGGCTGCTTTTGCCAGCCTGGCACTTTCCCCTTGTGCTGGACTGGTGGTCTAGTCACCAGCTAGGGAAGGCTGTTGCAGATAATTTTAGCACGCTTTTTGTTCTGGAAAGACTGGGCAGTCCCTTTTGAAAATGGCTCACCTGCCTCACCTTATTGTGTAATGCTTATTTTGAATCCGTTTCCTGGTATTTTGTGCCTTGCAAAGCAACATCGCAATTCTGGGATTTGCTTGGTGGAGCGGGGATTTGCTGAGGGAGCCATTCAGTTGGCTTGATGCACTCTGCGTACGGCCAGGGGTACTGCGCTCCAACTTCCCACACATTCTACAGCTGAGCTGCATAGCTTCATAGCTGCCAGTGCAGGGTCCGTTTGGTGACACTTTGCTTCAGATGAAGCAATATCCTTCGAAAGAAAGCTTGGATAGAGACGAAAGGTTCTACGCTCATTTCTTGTGCAGGGTACGTTCAACTGCGTATGTGGGAGAAGTAATCAGTATCCATGTATGATGAAAGCATGCTTCTCGGCATAATTGAGCAATCTGAAGGGTTTTTGTGATCTTGAGGTTTTTAGAAATGCAATATGATGGCTGAGAAGCATCCACCAAAGGAAGGTTGGGATTACGAAGCTGCCGGAAAAGAAAAAGGGTTAAAACAAATGACAGCTGTTGCGCTTGCACACACACACACACACACGGAGTCCTATATAAAAGTCCGATAATCGGAGATGGATTCATGACACACCACCCTCGTATCCTGTCTCCACAGATGTGACGTAGGTATAACCACGACCTCCTCCTCCTCCTCCTCCTCCATTCAACTGAGTCATGGATAATCCACGGATACTAACAGGGGAAGCAAATGTGGCTTCACAGCTGGAGTACCCATCTCTCCTTGGCTTCGTGTGCTAAGCTGTGGTGAGGTTGGGGGGAATCCTAAGAGCAGGGATGTAGGCTCAGGAACGCTGATCCAGGGAGGTGAACTGTTGACCAAGAAGATGCAAACCTGGCATGCCCCCGGCTTCCCCCCTACCCACCCGCTGGCCGTCCTTCCAAGTCTCGTGCCCTTGGAAGAGACCCCGGTGCTGATCTCATGCTTTCGTGGCCGTCACATCTGGAAGCAATTACAGAAGGGGTGGGAGGGGGAAAAGATGTGTTCGAAGCACAGCTGGAATTAGAAAGGCGGAGATGGCTGGGGTGGGGAAGGACAGAATGAGAGAAATGCTCTCGGCCCGTTCCTTGCAAGATCTCGCCGTCCTCGTGACTGGCTTTGTCTCACCAGTCTCTGGGAGGATCATGGGATGGAAAGAGGAGAATTTTGGAACTTCAGCAGGAGGTGGCAGGCCCGGCTCGGCTCAGCTCCTATCCCTGGCTGAGCCACTGACCCAAATTTGCCATCCAAGTTCCTGTATTCGAAAGCTAAGTAGACACAATTCCAGGCTTGGGATATGAAGTGGAGGGAGGGGTTGGAGACGGCAAGACAAAGGAAAGGTTTCTCAAAGCCATATTCCCCAGGCTTTGGCAACGCAGGCTGGACTTCCACAAGGTATCATTTGATCTATACCAATGCTATGCCATTTAATTAAGTCTAATCTAACCACCGACGATGTCATGGCAAAAATGAAAAGCACGGGCAGTTGTGCTGGCTGGATGCGCAACTTCAGATTCTGCATTAGTTATCCTAATGCTTCTGGCCTTTCTCTATCCCAAAATCATAACTTTTCATAAAGGGGTGCGAATGTGTGTCTCACACAGGAGCCGGGCTTCTAAAATTCTTCTTAGCACAATACCTCTATTAGGCCGGTAGAAAGATCTCCAAAAATCTGCAAGCCGTTGAGATCTTCAGGTCTCTGCATTGCGGAAGATGTTACCAAAACAGGTTGGGGGTGGACATCAGGATTATTGTCAATGAAGTCACCACAACTTCCAAAAAACTGCCTCACATCTCTCCCCTAAGTCAACCTGCGTTGTGTAACATCTTGCTGAAAGTTTGCATTGTTTTTGTAATCTTTTGTTTAGCAACGAAGACACTGAACTAGTAGGGATTCTGGGATGCCGCAAAGACGGGCACTGTGCATGATAATTTCTTTGCAACCCTTTCATGAAAAGTACAATTTTGAGGGTGGCCGAAAGCCAGAAGTAGCCAGCTGCAGGGGAAAAAGCCTGTCTCCTCATCGGAAAGGATGTGCGCGGATATACACACCTCTCCCTTTCAGAGCCTATTCTTCTCGCAGCCATGTGCCTTCCTTCCTTGCTGTGTTGTGACCTCACCTCCAGCATGCAGAGGTTCCCACGGGGCCAAGAAGGGAAGGTGAAGGAAAATAAAACAGACATTCAAGGGGCGATCTGCAGGAGAGCAAGAGCGCCAAGCGCTCTTTTCCACGGGGAGCCAACATTCCTATGAGTCTGGCCCACAGCCATCACCAAATCATAGCCAGGCTGGGATCTCCCCCAACTTCCAGGGGAAAAAAGCACTCCTTGGGCCCACTGACTATAATAATAAAGACGAAGAAGTGGCAGTGCCTGGTGACTCTTTCCCGGCTGACTCCTCGGGCCTCCCTGACACGGGCTTCATTTTCGCGAGGAGAGATGCTAGCAACAGACGGCCCTTTCTAAAGCTCTCAGCTTAGCAATGGCAAGATGCCGCCTGCTGGAATGACAGATCGACGGATCGAAGGTGCTTTGTGCGTGCTCAAAGGCCCTCTTTATTTATTTATTTATTTATTTATTTATTTATATTGCGATTTATATCCTGCCTTTTTCCTACAAAGGGCTCAAGGCAGCTTACATCATCTCTTCTCCATCTTATCCCCACAACAACAACCCTGGGAGGTAGGTTGGACTGAGAGGCTGTGACTGGCCCAAAGTCACCCAGTTGGCTCCATGGCTGAGCGGGGACTGGAACCCAGATCGTCTGAGTCCCAGTCCCATGCTCTGAACCACTACGCCACACTGGCTCTTGAATTTCACAGCCGTTCCGGGGCCGGATGGTGGCTTTACAAGGCTTGTGCACAAGCTCAGAGAAAGGTCTCTTGCTTTGTTCTTGGAATGCTCCGAGATCTGTTGTGAGGACCAGAGCAGCCCGGCAAAGAGAGATTCATTGTGGTAGTGGTTGTCCTTGTCATCGTCTCCTCAATTTGGATCCTGCTGTTTCTTCCAAGAGTTCTGGGAAGTGTTGTCAATCCCCCGCTACATTTTGCCCTTATAACTTTGTGAAGTCGGTCATGTGCAATGAGTCTGCTTACTGTTAGTGTCGAAATCAGCCCCGGTTTGGCAGAACAGCAAGCGCCCCGCGCCCTGCCTTGTTTACATGCATCACACGGGCAGCAAACAAGCTCCTCGCATGAGCGAGTGGTGCTTGGCTTGTTCTGCATTAATAAGTCCGGATGCCTGGCTCAACGTGACGAGCAGAGCAGGGATGCAAGCGCAAGCTTCGGCCAGATAGTGAAAGACCTTCCCAGCCTGGTATTCAGCCCTGTTGGGAGAACATAAGAAACGCCACGCTGGATCAGACCAAAAGTCCATCCAGTCCAGCAGTCTGTACAAACAACGGCAAACCAGCTGCGCACCTCCTCTTGCCCAAGACCCTCAGCAACCGGGGTTGGCAGGAATGGCCCCCCATGGAAGGAGCGGGCCCATAGCCAGCAAGGCCAGTAGCCACGGACAGCTGCCTCATCCATGAATTTGTCCAATTTCCTTTTAAAGCCATCCAAATCGGTGGCCGAATGCCATAGTTTAACCTCGCATTGTGTGAAGTACTTCCTTCTCTCTCCTCTAACTCTCGCTCTCCTTTTTCTACACTGTGCATATTTTAAACACCTCGGTCGCTTTCCCTTCCTTGCCATTTTCCTAAGCAATGAAGCTCCAGTTGTAGCCTCTCCTCATGGGAGAATCGCTCCACCCTCTTGATATTTTAGTTGCCCTTCTCTGCGCTTTTCGCAACTCAATAATGTCCTTTTGCGGGAAAGGCGACCTGCACACTACACAATATTCACAACTGCTGTTGCATCTAAGATTGGTGCAAGGCGAGTGCAAGTCTGGCACGTCTATTTTATTTATTTATTTAGAGAATTTCTATGCCGCCCCATTCGCCGAAGCCTCGGGACGGCTCACAACATAAATAACTTCAATTAAAATAATATAAATTAACAGTATAAAATAAAATTTTCTATTTTCTATTATGCCTAAGATCAAGTGTTGCCTTTTTTCACACATCCACCACAATCCCAAGACCCCTTGGGATTCTTGATTGGTCACGGCTAGCTCAGATCCCCTCAGCCCATCATTGGGATGTTTTGATCCAAAAATGCAATACTTTACACTCACTTACACTGTGAAGGAGGAGAGCGCAAAAGTTGGCTTGAAACTCAACATTAAGAAAACTAAGATCATGGCATCCGGTCCTCTTACTTGCTGGCAAATAGATGGGGAAGAAATGGAGGTAGTGACAGATTTTATTTTCCTGGGCTCCAAGATCACCGCAGATGGGGACTGCAGCCAAGAAATTAAAAGACGCTCGCTCCTGGGGAGGAAAGCTATGGCAAATCTAGACAGCATACTAAAAAGCAGAGACATCACCCTGCCAACAAAAGTGCGTATAGTCAAGGCT